CAACATCGCCTATAAACAATAGCAACATCGCCTATAAACAATAGCAACATCGCCTATAAACAATAGCAACATCGCCTATAAACAAGATAACTGACACAATTGACTTTGGGCTACCTGTGGGCTGATACCTCTAATCCGCAAAACAAATAGAACAAATAATAAATAATTCACAGATTAAGAATTAGACAGTCTACAAACACTTAAGGTGTGCAACATGATTAGTACAAAATAAACCTAATTTTATTTTATTTCTAAAATACTAATTTGTTTGTTTTCTATTGTTTGATTACCATAATTATTTAAAGTGAGTCTTTAAACCTGTGAAACAGAAACTTGACTATTAAACTTGACAATTAGAGAGTACTAAGGTGTATTACTGTACTATCGATTTCACTGGACTCACCCTAATGGTGCTATTATCAAATACTTCTAAACATTGCACAGCAAATGTATAATGAAAATAATTTTTTTCACGAATTCCTTTAGAGTGTTTTTCATAAGCCCGTGAAACAAAGTGTAATAATTAGAGTGCAATAGATCGTAATAGTCGCGTAGAGACAATAAAAAACAAAACAGCCAAAATGTAATAGAAATAAATGCGCTAAAGTGTGTTTCACGGGTTGATGAAAACCACTCTAGCACCTATYTCTAATTGCTGGATAAGTTAGCTATTTTTCTTAGGGTTTGTTTAGAGTAGCTAGAAGCTCTACCATACCAGTAATACGTTGTACCAAGCTAATTCCAGGTACAGTACTGAGATCTTTATAATCTCGTTATTTTGCGCAGAACAACGCATCGCCACCTCGTGCATTGTATGATATCAGATGTACTCGTCGCCATAACTAATGTTTTAAATATTGATTAATTACAAGCTTCACGGAGATTAGCGTACATGTATCATGGATAAAATCATTCAAAATATAGAGTCATCTCCTTCAGAAAGTTTGAACCGGTATACCGAACATTGCTTCACGAAATGAAATAGGAAAGTTTTGTTGTTTTGCGCGAGATGTATTTTTCCTTCCTTTTTTTCTTTAAAATCGACTCTAAAAGCGACGTTCGCCATTTTTCTTGTGTTTGGGGATTATTGATTCATGATTGCTTGAGCGTGTATTGAGAATTACTATTTTTATCAGATTGCTAACCTAGCTTTTCTGTCAATTTGGCTTTCGCGTTCTTAGCATGTTTTTTTCATGCTTATCGTGTTATCTACTAATAAAGATARTTAAACTAATAATTAAAGAAATTTTCCAAGTTATCAGTCATGTATCATGGACAAAATAATTTAAAATAAAAAGTCATCGCCTTCAGAAAGCTTTGAACAGGCATACCGAATATTGTTTCACGATTCTCTTGTATTTATTTCGGAAATCAAATAACAAAAATTTTTATTTTCGCGAGACGTTTTTTTTTTCTCTCTAAAAGCGGCGACGCTCGCCATTTTACTGGCGGTTGCAGATTATTGATTGATTGCTTACGAGTGTATTGAGAATTACTATATTAATCACCAGGTTAAAACTAGAATTTTATCACTCTGTCAGTTTCGCTTATTTCGCGTTCTTAGCATGTGACATCGCCTTGTTCATGCTAATCGTATTGTCTAATAATAAAGATAATTAAACTAATAATTAGAGACATTTAGCCATTGGAAAACCCAATTAATCAAATTCGATGGGAGGTTGATTCCCATAACTGAACATGACACATCTTAATAAAACACAGTTTGCAAAATGCAAGTGGGTGGATTTGTCGTTTATTTTACTTATATGTGATTTATTCTTTACTTTCTCCCTTCGCTCTGCTTTGTTATTAAGGAAATTGTTAAAATGTCACTGGCCTAGTTCAATACCATTATTATCACCCTTTCTTCTTTCTTTTTAGTTATATTAGCACCTTTCTGAAAATTATTAACGTTGAAAAACTTCCTAATAAAAGATTATTATTATTTTTCATTAATATATTATGATTAATACATCTGTGTTTTCCAAATTTCCAAGCATCGAAAACAACAATATTTTTAGCTGTATTTTTACCCAGCGCATTGCTGTACCTCATATACTTATTAAATTTCTTGTTGACAGTTAAAAGACCGGTACTGCTGCATTTTTGGTTGTTTTTCTAATTGAGGAAATTGAACCGCACGTGACAAGGAAAAGCTTGTCTCATTTTGGTATTTACACAGAGAATGAATATTGTCAAGTCAATAAGGAACAAGATATCACCCTCTTCCATGGAATCCACAATAAAAACACAACAAGTCCAAGTGTTTCTAGTTCCTTGTGTAAATAGAGCTTCCATGTAACCATCACTTTATTCAAAAAACATCATGATACTGAGATTTGATATAGATTGCATTTGAGAGCTTTTTATAGAAGAGCATTAGGTTTAATCTAGTCTCATCTCTAAAGTAAAAACTTTGTGATTGCGACGCTTAAAAGAACCTCTAGTTAGACAGTCCACACACAGGCGCTCAGATAAGGAACTTGACAGACACGCACGAAACAGACTGAATTGTCTTGCGAATGGCAAGATTAATATCTGATACGCAGACATATCACGCACGGCTTTGACTATAAATGGAAACTAGGTCTAAGAAATAGGAATCGGAAATTCATTTTGTATCTTTTCCTTTTTTTAGAATTACATTACAGRTCAAGTAAATAGAATATTTTAATTGCGAAAGGTAACAAAGAAATGAATTCGAGAAAAATCAAGAATATAATATGATAAGAAAGAAAAACAAGAAGATATTCTTAAAAGTCCGTAAAGGAGGAGAGAAAGGCGATATCGTTTTTCTCCATGTGAAATGTATTTCGGAATTCCCTCGTCATCAAATAAATTTTCCTATGAAGTCTGTCTGAGGAGAAAAAAGCGTATATTGATGAAGCGAAGCAGTAAAACGGTGAATCCAGACAGTAGATTTCAATATTATTCATTAAACCCACTCTTATAAGAAGCTGAGTTTTCTTTCTTGTATTGTTTTGATTCTCTCATTTCATGCAAGCTCGCCAAGAAGTCTGGACAAGCGTCAAGTGACCACAAAAGACTGAGAATTCAATAAAAATGTGCATTGATCAAGCGATGCCATAATAAGAACATGACTTCCTTCCAATAAAAAGCACAKCACTATCTCATGTGAGCTGCCATTTCCAATTACGAGCTGTCATGATAACCAAACATCTTTTTCAATAAGTCTTGTTATGCCTTGTTAAAACTTCAGCCGGTTAATCAATTCTTATTCATTGATTCAATGACTGCCCATTGTCGGTCATCGTCTGATGGTTAGTCCTGTGGTCAATGAACGCTTCCAATTTTGAACTCAAGTCGAGGCTAAAAGACTATAATATAATCTTCGGTTTTATTTGATTTTTTTTCAAGCTGGCCGAAAGGTGTCAATGTAGCTTGTGTTTCCATGGCTACGGTTTTGTTGGCTATCTGTTGATAGTTTGACTAGCAGAGCGTGTCAGTAGATTATCAAAGCACTTGGGTTTAGAGGTGTGCGTTTTTTTGTCTATAAAAGAAAACCAAACCTTTTTGAATAGTGTTCAATTAAAGACACCCATTGCAGATGGTCGTAGGTCGGGACCTGTCACCGACATTGTACTCAATTACAGACATTTCTATAGACGACTCTGATTCACTGATAGCGGCTTTGCTATGACTGTACTCAAGTAGACGCACTTCGCACAGTGTCGCGCTAACAGCATCAAAAATCTCGTTGTTTATATTAGGAATTAGTGGGATGCTATATTCTGAAACAGCCATCGGTCTTAAGTCACAGCCCCATTTACTATTGTTGCTTGCTATTATTTGTTGACAAAAGGATTTCTTTGGATGGCTCAGTAGCCAAGTACGCAGGCTTAACTCATTGATTATTAATTCTTTCACTGGTGCTTAATTTCGTGCTAATAAGATGCATTATAATAAGTAGGAGGGGACGTATTCATCGCAAAACCTAAGAGAGCGACAAGTATTTGCTGCACAGTGATGCGTTGAGTTCAATGCGTTCAAAGTGTATACAAGCGTGGCGGACTGACTCAAGCTGAGTCCAGATGTAATTCATAACGTGTGAATTCATCGTAAAACATGAGGAAAACGTCAAAAAGCGTACCTTACTACATTGTCATTCTTATAATCGTAGGAATTCTCACCACAAGAAAATGTAAGTACAAATTAAAAATAGTACAAACAGAACGAAGACTTGATCGTTATGCTAAGGCACATGTAGTTTGCTTRCCCTCGAGGCCATGACATTCCAAACAGAACATTGATAGTACATGCTGTATGTTGTTATTTATATAATCCCATATATCAGATCTGTTCGTCAGTTTTGAATCTAAAGCTGTTGCGTTTGACAGCTCGTTTATAGAACATGTTAGCAATTTGCTTTTATCTTTGGTCATGCAAGAGAATTAAATTATTTCAAAAAGACAACCTTAGCATTCCTTGCAAACCAAGCGTAAAAACTGACGGTCATTTTGAATTCTTTGAAACTATGTCCCCGATAACATCCTTACATACCAAAAACACAACATGCAGGTCTTAAAATATCGGGTATAAATAACTTTCGTTTTGGAACTCGCGTTTTCCTCGTTTTGGCGCCAAAATTTATTCTGAAAGGGAAAACGAGKACTCCACAGGGACCTGAAATAGCTCGACCGACGATGCAGGAGTCCATTTTCTGTAATYTCGTTTGAAAACGTTAATTCCAAAGGCAATGAGAGTGAACAGTGAAATGCTGAATTCGCTAGCAGACTTATCGTCACAAGTTAATTCGTATGTTTATGTAACTTTTCTAAGCTTTTAAAATGTAATAGAAATGTGACAAGATGTTATATAAAAAAGACAAAATTCAATTCATACGGCTTTTCTATCACACGAGCTCTTCACAGCAGGAGAACTCTGCCTTTATTGTAAACATGTTTTGGATAAGAGCTACAAATCAAACGAGTTTTGGTACGTCGGCAAAACGCTTCACAAAATCCAGATAGACAACAGCAAATCCGACATTTTCATGACAAGCAAATAGGATTTTCAATTTGTAATAAAAATCCCCAAAGAGAAAAGAAAATTTGTCATTTTAATAAGATTAACCTTAGAAGATAAAGCTTAAAACGATGGAATAATGCAGGCCGAAAATTAAATGTCCAATCTGCTACACCAAATAAAGAAGTTTGATACAATTTTTGTGTTTTTGCCGCACAATTTGAGGGCTTACTTACGTAAAAAATCAAAACGTTGAGCCGGAATAGCGGAATAAACAAAGTATAATAGCAAGAAAACATTATCATTGTTTTGTTAGAGTAGAATATTGTGATATATTGTGGTAGTTTTAAAGAAGAATATTTCTTAAATAAAATGAAAATGGCGGGAAACTTATGAAGCAGCTGAAGCTATTGGGGATATCGCTTATGGCAACGCAATCTGATGCGACACAGCAGACCATACTCGCTTTTCACTGAACGCTTTCTTATTTGGTGTATATATTCTCGCGTATATCGCAAAGAATTCTTAGTTTTAATAACGAGGAGTTAAATAATAAATTGAGTCACAGGAATTTGTCAAAAAGCAGTGAGCTTTTCTCATGTCGAGTCAAACTCGACAGCAACTCTCACACCCTAGTTAAATTAAGCCCATATTTTGTTGTTAAGTTCATTTGTATTGGTAGCGTGTCTTTCCATTAATCAAATAAAAATAGAATTACTTTGGCCTTTAGAAAGTCAAAACTTAAAAGTGATGTCATTCATAATATGAACGATGGTTGAGATTGGAATCTTTCTGGGCGTGACTTCCTAGAGGATCGTTGAAAACCATGGCCTGTGTTCAAGTATTCCATGCGGCCTGCTGAATCATGTATTCGGTGGTTGTGTGTTGTTTCTGTAAAGCGGTTGAAATGAAATCGCTGAGGAATATGTTAATCGATCATGTCCCCATTTCCTGTTGAGCAGATATCATTTTTGAACCCACGATATACAAGCATTAATATTGATGACCGCATGCAGAGGGTAATCGATGGAAATGGACTTCACATTCAACTCTGTCTATTCGCTAGCTGAAAATCCCTTTAACTAATGAAACATATATTGTATCCTCGACTATTTTGACCGTAATTGATCAAGTGGGTTAAGAAAATGGATTTCATTAAGTGTAAAAAACATTTCATGTTCGAGAAAATTGCTAGTTGTTATGGTTCATAATTTTCGTTTTCTTTGTAAATATTCGCTGAGATTAAACAGCTTTATTCTCGTTCTACGAGTTTTGAAAATCAATTAACAAGAAAATCGTTTCTCTGCTTAGTAAAAACCCCATGTAAGCCTCATGCACCTTAAGTAACTTACTGACTCATTAAACTCACAGCACTCGAAAGTTTCAAATTCTATCATTTTTTTCCCATGCAGAGTTTGGATCTTTTCCGGCAAGATTTTCACTCSGAGCACTCCTTCAGATCAATTATGTCTTTGGTCAATGATAGCTTCTAGTGGCTCAAGTAGATGACAAAGATATAATGTACGAGGTCTAAAAGACTCAGTGATATTSCATGACACAGCGCTTTCATTACTACTATCTCATCTGTAATATTTCAAGCCCTTCGGCAAATCAAGCATGATAAATCAAACAGATGGAGAAAGAAGGATTTTTTTCGGACTTTATATTAAACTAATGAATTACTTCAACTTAAAATTATAAACAAATTTGATTAGAATATAGACCATAATTTCTTGTCCATTGAAATTGCCTTAGAAGTTATGTTCTTGCATTATTAATTTCAAAACTGACCATAATGTACAATACATTTGCGAAAGATTATCAAAATATTGTCGTTCTTTATCGACGAGGAATTCAGTAAGTTGACTGAGCTGCCCGTTGAAGTCATAACTTATGACATATCGTAGTTCTATCGTATGACATGATGCGGCGAGATTGCGAAACCCACAGAAATCAGTCAGTGTATGTTTACTGCGGTAAAGTAGGCCGATAAGCTAAAGAAGTWAAGATTCTAAATTATAAATAACAATAATAAGAAAATACTCTACTTCCCACAACATAAAATAAAACTAAACAATGAAAAAAGTACAAATGAAGCCCAAATCATTTCAATGGCTTGGAAAATTATTTTTTTGCGGCGAGTCAAAAGATCGTGGATTAGACTAGAATAAATATTTGAATGTTGTAAAACTGAGAAAGAAATGGAAAAAAGTAATATTGGAATGCTATATAAAGAAAGAAACGAGTTTTTCTATAATACGAATCAAATACGAGGTAGATAATGAAAAATATCACCAATATCACGAGCTTATCAGAAGACATAAAAAAACGCAAAATAATTAAACAGAAAGCATTTAAGAAAATGAGTTCACTGAAATTCCTCTGAAACAGACCGAAATACGATTGGTTATTAGGGCTTAAACACCTGCAAAATAACACGACTAGTCACGGAATCACGAACGGATCATACAGATGAACAAGGACCAATACACAGACTCAAAGAATAATAGAATTGTACAATCGCGACATTGTGGCAAAAACGACAGGCAAAAACGGTGATGTTGTAAAAGTTGCAAAAAAAAAAACGAGAAAAAATATATTGCAATAATATGTGTACGTGAACATGGTCCAATCGCGTGTGACGTTAGCAACAATTGTCCAATCGACCCGCGTGCTTCCTATATTTCCTTAATTCACTATTTTAAATAGATGTTGTTATTCGTTTCGTTTAATTTACTGTGAGTGCGATACAAGCTTACCTTGTTAAATTTAGTTTTCATAATCGTAAACCCTATTCTTCACTGATCATCTTAATCAGATGCTCTTGAATGGATAAAACCCGATAAATTCCATTATACGACTTATCCTTGTAAACCAAGAGCCTAGCCCTGGAATATCAAAATACCAACGTTGATAGCCGATATAATGTATTGTAGAAAATATGAAAAAATCGAGCAGACTACTATTATTACGATAATGGGATATAAAAATATCAATAGCTATACAATAACGAAAATTAATACGATATATTTAATAAACACAAGATAATATCAAAATAATATCCAAAGTACAAATATTGATTAATAACATCAATGCTGATAACAATGATMAGCGCTGTAATCATATCGACGTTAATTGTATTTCCGCCTACAAGATGCCTTCAACATCGTGTTCTCCAATTAAAATAATCGAAGTAATCAATCATTACTTGTTCCATTATCTCTAACATCTCATTAAGAATTTCACTTGATTCCCAAGAGCGTTATATACAAGATAGCAATCAACTTTTGCAGCCGTCTTACAAACGTTCACAGCGTCAGGTTAAAGTACACGTTTATTCTGAGCCAAGCTGTCGGGAACTTAGGCACCAAAATGTCGACAACAGTTAACGATAAATGAAGATGCAATGGGCACCCGCAGTTACGTGATGACCTGGCTGATATGACGTCATATGCTGGTTAGAAAATCAATTAACCGTTATTGGAAAGTAAGCATGGAACCGTATTCAATTAGAGTGTTTAAGTGCCGACTTGATCAAGTATTCTAGAATAGCACGCACAATTGTACTTGATCAAGTATTCTAGAATAGCACGCACAATTGTATATAGTTATAAGTTACCTTCCTTTTAAACGGGCTTCCTTTACAATAACTGAGAACTTTCATTGATTTCTATTACATTGTTATATGATCCGCATTTTTCAATATAACATCTAACTTGTTCAGTTGGGCTACTCGATCCTGCAGTTTCTAAAGCTTTCATGTTGAATATCATTGCTCGGCCAACAGTATCCTGCATGTGCTCTAAAAAGACACAAGCACAACTGCTAGCGTAGCTGGWTCCCTACACGATGTATTGGACGCTCTTATGATTAGATAAATCCCACAACCGCGTGTGACTTTTTATTGTACTTTGAACAGTATTATGCTTATTAACATTATAGATATCTGATAAAAAGGGATGGAAAGCCGGTACGACGTTATTTGACTTTTAGTTTTTTTTTAATAAGTGACTCATGTAAGCARCGAGAAACGCAAGCTCTGCGAGAAAAAAAGGAATAATTTGAGACGCTTGATATTTTCATAATGTTAGTTTTAATATTTATCGCCCATTTACGACTTATTCTCTTTCTTAATTTTACATAAAAGTAATRAGTTCACAAAGCACGTCTTGATATATTGTAGCTATAGTTTTGTAAGTTTTAAAAGCAGCACAGCATTATTTATGATTTATGAATGTCTTAAAATTAAAAAAAAAACACAAACGCAGTCCTCTATCAGACTCAGGTATACGTTTATTAACTATGATATCAGATCTTAAGAGGAAAGTACATCGTATTGGTTTCATCGGCTACACCTTGATAKGCCTAACGACACTAATATGATAGCTGAGTGGATTCAGTCCAAGAACAACCTCTAATCACATCTTTCTAGAACATTTTTGATCAGTCTTTAAATAACCCTTGAACTTTTTGGCACATGTAGATAATGTATTTATAGTATTGTGGAAACCAACCAAGAGCAATGCGTTGAGAGCCCGACTGAGCTCATACTAGCTAAACTCGTGTGTTGTATAACGCGCCTGCGCAGCGCAATACTTCTAATGTCCTGAACTACATAGCCTTCCTTTCTAAACCAATGACTTTCTTAGCAGTATTGTTATGCCGCATACAACAAAAACACCACAATCTGTGAATTWCCCATAATCCTCTTTTTGTCCAAAAATGTGATCCGGGAGTGAACATAGACGGCCATCTTGATTCTGCGAATAACATACAAGTTTGCTATAATATAAATTATCTAGGGCTTCCATTGCATGAGAATTTCTAAAATATTTTGATAATAAGTATAATAATGTAAAATAGCAAGTGGAAGTATTATGAGAATCGCTAAAAACTGGGAATTGACTAAATCGTAGTTAGCTACTGTAAATGTAAACAAGTGATTTTCTTAAGGAAAATTCAGTATTTTAATGGAAACCATTTTTGGTGCSCAACAATAGATRTATATTGACTATCTCTGGTTTTGCATACACCAAAATGCGRCAATGATTTCATGCGAAAGAAGAGAATGCACAATTTGAGTGAGTTCGACCGGTACACACAAAAAACTCAAATGACTTTTTAGCTTTGTATGGAATCCTGCTATTTCTACTAAATATCCCCACATAGATCGTAGTGATAACATGATAGAGCTCACCAGGCTTTGCATGATTTACTCGCCCACGTATTTGGTCTTTGTCGGTACAGATTTTTTTGATTTGCTTMAAGTCAAGTTCACGGAAGKAACTTTGTCCAAACATAACTGATCTTTGCATTTTCTTTGTTGACTTAAGGTAGAGCAAAAATATTAAATTACTGAAGGCCAAAAGTATTGATAGCAAATAGTAGTTTACATTTCGTCGCTATCCAAGGGCGGATCTATATATAGGGGTGATTAGGATGGCTGGCCACCCCCATGTAGGCTTCAAAAATATAGAGATATAGGAATTATGATATAAAAAAAAAGAAATTAAATATAAATAGGTCTCATTCTGGAAAACAGCTTAAGGAGGCTCCATAGAGTATTTTTAACCGCGCGAAGCATGGGTTCGACCGGCTCGATGGCGCGAGCTTTTAAGGTAACAAAATTCAAAACAAAGATGGCGGCGCGGCATATTTTGTTCACAAATCGTTTTCCCAAAAACACTCGTATTTTAACCCAAATCATCCAGCACTTCAAGTCAATCAATAAAGAATAAATATAGGTGAAGTAAAACGTATTTTACGTCATGTTTCCCCCAAATATCCAGCGATTACTCGCAGAATTTGGCTTCTTTAGCGAATTTTTTCGACCGTGTCTTCGAGTTCATTGAGCCCGCATTCTTTACTAGCGCATGCGCAAATGCCGATCTTGTAAAATTTTATTTCTGCGCATATCATTAAAAAATTTGATTTTCAACATACAATAAAATAAATTCCCCAAGGGCGATTTTCTTCAATTTTGGATATTATTTTATTCGTGTCACTATCAATCATTTTGCAAGTTATAAAATGATTCTTGACATCAGATTTTTTTTAATTCACAAAAAACACTTTTTTCGTTGTTTTAAAAATTCTAATGTGCAGATCCTTTTCAAACAGTTTTTATACACTTGATAATATTGCAAAAAACAACATATTTCAGTTTCAAGAAGATTGCCCGTGCCAATTCTGAATTATCATTTTTCAAATGTCAAATAAGGGCCTTGTTGTAGTGGTCGTACTGTTTCCATGACAACATTCTACCCGGATATTTTTATGTAAAATTATTCTCCAACTATTAGTCATTAAAGAAATAGCTACTTTATGAATTTTGAGAGCTGTCTTATGTACAAAAAAGGCCAAATATCTGGAAAACCTCCGTTTTGAGTAATACTCTATGGAGCCTCCTTAATCAGCGTTTCATCTGAAAAAAAAATCAATTTCTGCATGGATCTATCAATGAATTTGATATTTTTTCTTGGTTTAGCTATCCGCCTTTGTGATGTTCTTGAACCACCGCTGCTACCAATAAGCGGGAATGTCCCCAGAAAAAAAACATTAACAGACACAAAATGAATTTTCACAAAGCAATATAACATAACAGTTGATATATTAAATCGCGGTACGATTAGCTATGTAAACAAACATGGTAGAATGCATTGGGAAGTAAGGTTCTCTCACAGTAAGTGATTATATTGGATGTTAATGAGCTACTGATTATGTTTCGCGACGTACCGAGGAATATAGTCAACTTAACGATCATGACCAAAGTGAAATACTGAAAGCATTGTTTAGGAATGTGGAAAACAGTCTTTTTTAACTAGCAATCATGGTTGAACGACATTCTAGTAGAATGACTGCCAAATATCCCTCTAGGAGAGATGGGCGAACAGTTGATTGACTTGGAGGTTCGCCATATAATGAATCCTCACTGAACTGTTCAATTTCTATCATTGATTTCTAATTATTAAAGTAACCAATCAGAATCCGTATTTTATGAGGATAGAGACATTTAAAATACATTTTTTTTTCAGGTGTGGCTAACGGGATGAAGTCCATGATGGCCTGCGAGAACGGTATGATGTACATCAAGTGTCCACATAATACCCTTCAAATACAGATCGCACAAGCATCGTACGGACGAGAGCTTTCAAAGAAATTCGTCTGTCAATCAAATGATCCAAACGTAGTAATCAAAGACTGTGGGGTTAGCAATGTAAAATCACGAGTACAGAAGAAATGCGACGGGAAATATGAATGTAATTTTAAAGTAGACAATCAAAACTTGGGTTATTTCTGCACCAACGTGTACAAGTACCTCATCGTATTGTTTGATTGCAGTAAGTGGAACTATAATTTGTCTTTCTTCTTATCGTTATGCTAATTTAAGTAAATTAGAATTACAACGTATTTAAAGTGCGGCTACGACGTAATCCGTCCATTTTCTTCTGACCACTGTTTTCGCTAGTATACACGATATATATTA